TTATTTTAAAATTTGATATTTAATTTAAAAATATATATTTATAATGATAAATCTGAAATGATACACTAAAAATTCTGATATCTGATATATACTATTTTAATAGCAAAACTAATATGCATACCAATACAATATTGGTAACTTTATACGCTATTACAGGCAAAGTATCTCCAAAATTATTTGATGTAAGTTGAATGGGTGCAGCCGACTTGACATCCTTATTTTGAGATGGATAGGCCCTTTACACGTCTGAAAGCCTTTGGGCCTGTTGATGCGCAGAGGCTGAGAAGCCTTTTGTGAGGCCCAAACAAGTTAAATCCTGACTCCATTGCATGGTAATATATATATATATATATTTTATGTAAAAGTAAATATTAATTGGTATTGTAAAAAATTAAATAATAAAATATTTTTAAAGTATATTATTTTAAAGATTTTATTAAAAAATTAAAATTTTTCAATTTTTTTTTAAATTAAGTTATTTTTTAATCTTAAAAAATAATAAATCTACACTTTAAACTCACTCAACTCCTCACACACTTCAGTTTAGTTATTATTAGAACTACATTTTGGTCGCACGAGTTCACCTATCCCTCGCTTGTTCGTAATACCTTTCGTTGTCCCATGGGTCGCATTATAAAGAGATAGTTGTGAATGCTTCCACCACGTTGGAAAGGCTCTTCATTCAGATTGGACCCATGAACGAGGAATTGGAAATGTTAATGCAATTCTAAATGGGTTGGAGGTGTTGAAAATGAGCAATTCAGTGGATAGATTGGATGGGGAGTATGGCATTGACAGAACTAGTGCTAGATCGAGAACCAAGGGCATGGTGGCAGCAGTTGAAATATCCATGATGTTCGGCGCCTTTGTGGGTCTCAGTGCGATGGTTATCAAGTGGAAAAGAAGACTCCAAGATTGGCAGAAGAAGAATAGTTTCTCCTCATCGTCGCTGCCGATCCACGCTAGCAGTTGCCGATCCCTACCAGTGCCTGTCGATGCACTCCAGCAATTGCCGATCCACGCCAACGGCACCAGCTTCATGGCGAGCAAGACCTCAGTCGAGCAAAACAAAATTTGGGGTTCTTC